CATCCATCTATCTATCTATCTATCTATCTATCTATCTATCTATCTATCTATCTATCTATCTATCTATCTATCACAAGATCGCTCATCCCGTCTCTCATTTCAATCTAAATTTGTTTTGTTTTATTGTTATGACAATAACAGTGAATTCATATTCCCAAGCATATGAAGTTTAGCTGTGTATACTGAGACATAATAAATAAGAGACATATTTATTATATTGATTATTTTTTTATTTTATAATGTATTCATAATATTAATCACAATAAATAATTAATTTTAATTATTTATTATTATAATAATTTATATTATTATTTCTTTAATTATAATTTTTTTAATTATAAGGTGACTAAGAACTCACTAACTAAGAAAATAATAATAAATGTTATCAAAAGGAATATATTAGGGATGTGACAAATTCAACAGGAATATCTGAACTATGAACTGAGTTAATGTGTCGGTCAACATAGGACACAAATATAAGTGATTTTTAGGTTTTAATATCCTTGTGGCATCATAGCAGGCAAAACCTGCTCGGCACACACACTCAAACACACAAGCAAACAAACAAACAGAAACATACCACAGTAATCCTCTCTACAGGGAAGACATCACAGATGTATTTTACTAAAAGTCAGAAGATTTCTCCCAGGCAACCAGGAAAGATCTCTTCAGAAGTGAGAAAACATTTCCTTATGTGCATCAGATTCATAATGAAATTCTATAAATATATTTTTTTTCTGCTCAAGATGAAAAGATAAAGTGGAACTTTCTTCCTCAATATCTCCCTCTAGTTTCCCTTAAGGGGTTTGCCTGCTCACATCTGACATAGATCTTTATAATATCCCGCTGATTCAGGTCAGAACACTGATTTTTTTTCTTTTATCTCCATTTTCCTCTCAAACACATTCCTATACAAATGACAATAGGTTGATCCAACTGTTTGAATAATGAAAAGGGGCACACAAAGGGGCAAATACTCCTCCACTGCAAGCATGAGCTCAGCCCTTAAAGGAATAGATGACCCAAAAATGAAAATTTGATGAAAATGTACTCACCCTCAGGCCATTCAAGATGTTTGTTTTTTCGTCATAACAGATTTGGAGAAATTTAACATTCCGCTTGCTCACCAATGGATGCTCTGCAGTGAATGGGTGCCGTCAGAATGAGAGGCCAAACAGCTGATAAAAACATCACAATAATCCACAAGTAATCCACACCACTCCAATCCATCAGTTAACATCTTGTGAAGTGAAAGCTGAGTATTTGTAACAAACAAATTCATCATTAAAACATTTTTAACCTCAAACCATTGCTTCTGTTTAAAATACAACTCCTCTGTCTATAATTTTGCCTTCTCCTGTGAAAAGGTCATCTCCTCTGAATCAGAATCAGGTTTAAAAAATAAAACAGCCCAAAACAGCCTTTAACTGATGGACTGGAGTGGTGTGGATTACTTATGGATTATAGTGATGTTTTTATCAACTGTTTGGACTCTCATTCTGACGGCACCCATTCACTGCAGAGGAT